GGGGGCGGGCGGACAGCGCAGGTTTCCGTGTGGACGGCTGGGCGCCGCTGTGAAAGGACGTGGGGCGCAGGCGGGGGCGTGCATTGGACAGCGGGGCCCTGCTGTCAACGCGGGGCGGGCGAAAAGCGCAGGTCCCCCTGTTGACAGCGGGGCGCCGCTTTCAGTCGGCTTCGGACCCAGGCGGGAATGTGTGTTCGACAGTGGGGGCCATACGTCACCGCGAGGTGGGCGGGCGGCGCATGTTTCCGTGTTGACAGTGGGGCGCTATTGTCAAGCGGCTTCAAAATGTGGCGGCGATGAGCATGTGACAGCGGGGGCCCCATTGCCAACACGTTGAGGAGGAGTTGGGGGAGCCCGGAGTAGCCCGGCCGATTCCCCAGATGAGCGCGGAAACTTTCCGTTGGCAGTGAGGCGCCAGTGTCAAATGGGCTTGGTCGGCCGAGGCGGAGAAGTGCATTCGACAATGGGGCCCCGTCGTCCAATTCGATTGGAATCCGCCCGCTGTCAGCGGGGCACCGCTGTCAATTAGCATTGGGCGGTCGCGGCGGGACTGCACTTTATAATAGTGTGGCTCCACTCTGAATGACTCGTTCGGGGCCATGGATGGGGGGGTCACATTGCCAGATTGGGGTCCCTGGGGGGATTGATGGGTGTTATCTCACACAGCTGGAGATCCACAAGGGGTCGGTGGATTTGTCTGATCACGTTGGGTGGTCTTGCGCAGTAGTCTCGCCAATGACGGCAGATGGCGGCCTGGTTTTAGCTGCGCTGGGAGCGTTGCTTCACTTAGATTTATCGAAGACGCCTACGGCGAATCACCACCGCCCCCTGCCCCTTTGGAAGCGCCTCTGTGGCCGACAGCTGGGCCAGAGCTTGGCCAAGCTATCGGGCCAGTTGTTCCCGAGTCGGTTTGGAAAGACTTCGGGGAACACATGGGGGAGCAAGAAGAGGAGGTGGAGGAGGAGGAGGAGGAGGAGGAGGAGGAGGAGCAGAAGGAGGAGGAGGAGGAGGAGGAGGAGGAGGAGGAGGAGGAGGAGGAGGCCTCTTGGGCGCCTCTTGGGGCACTCTTGGGGCACTCTTGGGGCCTCCTGGGAGCTTCCTGGGGGCCTCTTGAAGGGTATTTGGAGGCCTTTGGGGGCTTTTTGGGGGCCTCTTTGGCCGTCTTAGGGCGTTCCTGGCTTGTCTGACGCCGTCGGAAGCCGTCTTGGGGGGCCTGTCTAGGTCGTCTTCGGGCCCTCTTGGGGCATATCAGGGGTTCTTAGAGGCCATCTTGGGCGTGTTGGAGGCCTCTTGGGCCGTTTTGGGGTCCTCTTGGGGCCGTCTTGGGGGTCTCTTGGGCCGTCATGGGGCCATCTTGGAGGCCTCTTGGGAGATCTTGGGGGCCTCGTGCGCCGTCTTGAGCCGTCGGAATGCCGAGAAGAAGCAAATGTCAAACATCATCTAAAAACCGTAGGACGTAGGACAATCAATGATATTGGCCTCTTCGTGCTCTCCTGGAAGACCTCCTGGACGCCTTTTGGGCCGTCTTGGACGCCTCTTTGGGGCCTGTTGGGCCGTCCTGGGCCATCTTGAGGCCATATTAGGCCGTTTTGGGTGCATCTTGGGCCGTCTTGGAGGCATTTTGGGGCCACCTTAGCTGTCTTGGAAGCCATTTTGGCCGTCTTGGAGGCCTCTTGGGCCGTCTTGGGGGCCTCTTGGGCCGTCATGGGGCCATCTTGGAGGCCTCGTGGGCGATCTTGGGGGCCTCTTGGGCCGTCTTGAGCCGTCGGAATGCCGAGAAGAAGCAAATGCCAAAATCTGTCATTTTTTCTGAAAATCAATGATTTTGGCCTCTTCGGGCTCTCCTGGAGGACCTCTTGGAGACCTCTTGGGCCGTCTTGGAGGCCTCTTGGGGGCCTCTTGGGCCGTCTTAGGCTATCTGGAGGCCATCTCAGGCTGTCTTGGGTGCATCTTGGGCCGTGTTGGAGGCATCTTGGGGCCATCTTAGCCGTCGTGGAGGCATCTTGGGCGTCTTGGAGGCCTCTAGGGGCCCTCTTGGGGCCATCTTGGGGGCCTCTTGGGCCGTCATGGGGCCATCTTCGAGGCCTCGTGGGCGATCTTGGGGCGATCTTGGGGGCCTGTTGGGCCGTCGGAATGCCGAGAAGAAGCAAATGCCAAAATCCTGCAAAAACTTTTTGGAACAAAAACAATGATTTTGGCCACTTCGGGCCATCCTGGAGGACCTCTTGGAGGCCTCTTGGGCTGTCTTCGAGACCTCTTAGGAGGCTCTTGGGCCGTCTTGGGCCATCTTGAGGCTATCTTGCGCCGTCTTGGGGCCATCTTAGCCGTCTTGGAGGCCATCTTGGCCGTGTTGGAAGCATCTTGGAGGCCATCTTGGGCCATCTTGGAGCCGTCTGGGGCAGGAAAACCCTTTGCAACCGGCTCTGGAAGATCCTGGGCAATCCTTCCGGGACCCCGGCGGGACGCGCCAGAGCCCCAGGGGGAGTTCTTTTGGAAAAGAACCAAAACCGAGAGGGTTCAGCACGCCAGGCACCCTTGCGACGAAGCGACAGGGGGCGGCGGATCGAAGACGCCTACGGTGAATCACCGCCGCCCCCTGCCTTCTAGAATCGCCCATGAGGCCGAGCGTTGTGGCAAGAGTTCTTCCAAGCTATCAGACCATGTGTTCCCCCAGCCGTTGTGGAAACCCTTCGGGGAACACGTGGTGGAGGATGGCGGGGAAGATCAGGAGGAGGCGGAGGAGGAGGTGGAGGAGGAGGTGGAGGAGGAGGTGGAGGAGAAGGAGGAGGAGGAGGAGGAGAAGAAGGAGGAAGAGGGGACATCTTGGGAGCCTCTGGGGACACTCTTGGAGCCGCCTGGGAGCTTCTTATTGGAGGTCTCTTGGGGGCCTCTTGGGCCGTCTTGGGCAATATTGACGCCATGTTAGGCCGTCTTGGAGGCATCTTGGGCCGTCTTGGAGGCATCTTGGGGGGCAAAGCTATCGGACCATGTGTTCCCCGAGTCGGTTTGGAAAGCCTTCGTGGGAACACGTGGGGGAGGAAGAGGAAGAGGAGGAAAAGGAGGAAAAAGGAGAAGGGCGAGGATGCCTCTTCGGAGCCTCTTGAGGCACTCTTGGGCTCGATTGGGCCGTCTTGGGACCGTCTTGGAGGCCATGTTGGAGCCTCTTGAGGGCCTCTTGGGGCCTTTTTGGGACTTCTCGGGGGCCTCTTTGGCCGCCTTAGGGCGTTCCTGGCCCGTCTGACGCAGTCGGGAGCCGTCTTGGGGGCCTCTCTGAACCGGCTTGGGGCCTTCTTGGGGCGCTTCGGGGCCGTCTTGGAGGCCATCTTGGGCGTCTTGGAGGCGTCTTGGCCCGTCTTGGGGCCCTAGAGGGCCGTCTTGGGGGCCTCTTGGGCCGTCATGGGGCCATCTTGGAGGCCTCGTGGGCGATCTTGGGGGCCTCTTGGGCCGTCTTGAGCCGTCGGAATGCCGAAGAGAAGCAAATGCCAAAATCCTTCAAACACCGTAGGAAAATCAATGATTTGGGCCTCTTCGGGCTCTCCTGGAGGACCTCTTGGAAACCTCTGAGGCCGTCTTGGGCCGTCTTGGAGGCTTCTTGGGTGAACTTAGAGGTATCTTGGACCCTCTTGGGCCGTCTTGGAGGCCATCTTGGACCGTCTTCGGCGGACTTGGAGGCCATCTTGGACCATCTTGGAGGCCATCTTGGGCCGACGTGGCCATCTTGGAGGCCATCTTGGAGCCGTCTTGGGGGATTTTGGGGGGAATTGAGTTCTTTGAAGATCGTCCCCGGACCCC